AAACTATTTCACACAGATAGATATATTAGACGAGGAGGTGGAGTAGCCATATATGTTAGGGACAATTTGAAATGTAGTCTCAAAGAGGGAATCAAAACAGAGCCACACACAGAAACTATTTGGATTGAATTAAACGAAAAAGCTAATAATATTATAATAGGAGTAATATATAGGCCACCAAATTTAGACAGAATGGAAGCAAAGCATCTATGGGATGAAATATCTAGAGCATCTAGATCTAACAGTATTTATGTCATGGGTGACTTTAATTTTAGCGGAATAAACTGGTTGAACAAAACAGGGAATAGTGAAGTAGAAGATTTTCTAGAATTAATTGACGATTGCTTTCTTACGCAACACATTAAGGAACCAACACGGGAAAATAATATTTTAGATTTAGTGTTAACTAACAGGGAAACGCAAATTAATGACATCGAAATAGGGAGTGAGCTAGGGAGCAGTGATCACAAAGAAATCAGATTTAGCATAGAATGGAATAGACCAGTAGGAGAAAATTCTGTTAAAGTGCCAGATTTTCGAAAAGCTGATTTTAATAGCCTAAGAAATTTTTTGGGTCAAATTGATTGGAAAGGCTTGGGTATGGGGTGTGGGCCGGTCTTGGAGCGAGACATGAACCCAGCGATAGGTGACTTAAATGGGGATTTCGATGTGGATTCAATATATAACTTATTTAAGAATATTCTAAACAAAGCACAGGAACGTAGTATACCATACAAATTGAATAGATCGTATACTAATGACCCAAAGTGGATAACAAAGAATTTGAAGAACCTTATAGGTAAAAAGAGAGCTTGGTACAAAAGGATTAAAAATGGGGAGGTCACTTTAGAACAGGAATTCGTACAACTGGTTAGAAATGTTAAAAAAGAGATAAGGAAAGCAAAAAGAAACTATGAAGTTCGCATAGCAGGGCAAGCAAAGACAAATCCTAAAGGGTTTTTTCAGTTATATCGTACTAAGACTAGGGAAAGGATAGGTCCATTAAAAACTGAGACAGGTCAAATAACAGATAGTGATGAAGAGATGAGTAGTATTTTTAATAAATATTTTGTATCAGTATTTACTAAAGAGGAACTTAACAATATGCCTTCAGCCGAACAAGTCTATGTGGGTGGGGACGAGGACAGGTTGACGAGTTTAGCAGTTACCAGGGAGGATGTTCTTAAACAAATAGTAAAACTCAAACCAAACAAATCCCCAGGGCCGGATGAAGTGTTTGCTAGGGTGCTTAAAGAATGCAAAGAGGAGCTTTGTGACCCACTGTCAACCATATTTAATAAATCAATAGAGTCAGGCAGAGTGCCAGAGTTTTGGAAAGTTGCTAATGTGATACCAGTTTTTAAGAAAGGAGATAGATCACTTGCGTCTAACTATCGACCAATTAGCCTAACGTCTATTGTGGGAAAGTTACTCGAATCTATAATAGCAAATAAAATTCGTCTTCATCTTGAAAAACATAAATTAATAATTGAGTCGCAACATGGTTTTATAAATGGCCGTTCATGTTTAACAAATTTGTTATCTTTTTATTCTAGCATTGTTGAGGCAGTTGATAGTGGTAAGGATTGCGATGTTGTATACCTTGACTTTAGCAAAGCTTTTGATACAGTGCCACATGAAAGACTGATTAAAAAAATAGAGTCTCATGGTATTGGGGGTGCTATATTAAGCTGGATTAGGGCATGGCTATACCAAAGGAAACAGAGAGTTAGTATAAATGGAATCAAGTCAGAGTGGGAAAATGTTGTAAGTGGAGTGCCTCAAGGCTCTGTCCTGGGACCTCTGTTGTTTATAATATATATAAATGATTTAGATTCAGGTTTGAGTAGCAACATTTGCAAATTTGCCGATGATACGAAAATCGGTAGGGAAATTAATTCGGAGGAGGACTCACTATCACTTCAAGTTGATCTAGATAGGGTTTTGAAATGGTCAAAGGATTGGCAGATGCAGTTTAATGCTGATAAATGTAAAGTTCTGAGGTTAGGTAATGATGATAGAGTTACAAGATACGAGCTAGATGGTGTTGTGATTGCGAAGTCGGATTGCGAAAGGGATCTGGGAGTTATGATTAGTAAGAATTTAAAACAAAAGGATCAATGCATAAATGTTCGTAATAAGGCAAATCGGACACTTGGATTTATTAATCGCAGCGTTAGTAACAAGACACCTGGTGTGGTTCTCAAGCTATATCTTGCTCTAGTTAGGCCCCATTTAGATTATGCAGTTCAGTTTTGGTCGCCATATTATAGAATGGATATAAATTCACTTGAACGTGTCCAGCGTAGGATGACTAAGTTAATTCCCCAAATTAGAAATCTTTCATATGAAGAAAGATTAACAAAGCTTAAGTTGCATTCACTGGAAAGGCGAAGAGTTAGGGGTGACATGATAGAGGTTTACAAGTGGATGAATGGACATAACCGGGGGGATATTAATAGGGTATTAAAAGTATCAACACAGGACAGAACACGAAACAATGGATATAAATTGGATAAGTTTAGATTTAGGAAAGACTTGGGTAAATACTGGTTCAGTAACAGGGTTGTTGATTTGTGGAACCAATTGCCGCGTAACATTGTGGAGGTGGGGTCCCTCGATTGTTTCAAGCACGGGTTGGACAAGTATATGAGTGGGATTGGGTGGTTATAGAATAGGAGCTGCCTCGTATGGGCCAATAGGCCTTCTGCAGTTACCTTTGTTCTTATGTTCTTATGTTCTTATCTGGGAGTTATGATTAGTAAGAATTTAAAACAAAAGGATCAATGCATAAATGTTCGTAATAAGGCAAATCGGACACTTGGATTTATTAATCGCAGCGTTAGTAACAAGACACCTGGTGTGGTTCTCAAGCTATATCTTGCTCTAGTTAGGCCCCATTTAGATTATGCAGTTCAGTTTTGGTCGCCATATTATAGAATGGATATAAATTCACTTGAACGTGTCCAGCGTAGGATGACTAAGTTAATTCCCCAAATTAGAAATCTTTCATATGAAGAAAGATTAACAAAGCTTAAGTTGCATTCACTGGAAAGGCGAAGAGTTAGGGGTGACATGATAGAGGTTTACAAGTGGATGAATGGACATAACCGGGGGGATATTAATAGGGTATTAAAAGTATCAACACAGGACAGAACACGAAACAATGGATATAAATTGGATAAGTTTAGATTTAGGAAAGACTTGGGTAAATACTGGTTCAGTAACAGGGTTGTTGATTTGTGGAACCAATTGCCGCGTAACATTGTGGAGGTGGGGTCCCTCGATTGTTTCAAGCACGGGTTGGACAAGTATATGAGTGGGATTGGGTGGTTATAGAATAGGAGCTGCCTCGTATGGGCCAATAGGCCTTCTGCAGTTACCTTTGTTCTTATGTTCTTATGTTCTTATGTTAAATAATTTATGTATATGTTAAACAATAGAGGTCACAGGACAGAGTCTTCAGGCACTGCACTTACAACGGTTTCCCACTTTGTTTTTACTCCATTTATACAAACTCTTTGTTTCTTTTAATATAATCATGTCCGTATCCAGCTTGAGATAAGCATCGCCCAATACCGCGAGCCTCTGCTAAGAGGCTTAGCTTTGCTAAGTCAAGGTACGTAACGTCACAGTCCTTACAAAGCCACATAATGGACTCTGGACTTGAACCTCTTTGTTGTTAGCATGACCCAGGGAACACCTCGAGGTAACAGTTAGACTTATGCAGATCTCCAAGGAATAGAAAGAAGTAGGATACCGAGCCATTATCACGCGAGAGGTGTGGTCGTGGTGCGAGTTTTTTTTTATGTTCTGGAAGAGTACCCTATTAGGCAAGTGGTGTAAAACCCTGCGTCACTAGAGACCCGGGTTGGGTAACACTGTATCTCCTGCCATCAATGTTCAATTTTTTGAGGAAAATTATATTCTTTGTTTTGAAGGTTTAACCTTAATGCTACACGGCTGATGACGCGCACTACAGCGACAAATATATTGCATGGTATTTTGTATGTGTGTATTGCCCAACTCCCCAGTAATACTGGCAAAGCTTATACAACACCAACAAGAGTTTTTTCCGCCCATGGTGTGAATTGTCTCTTAGGCACAGCAATTCACTCTGTAATAACATCATATTTTATAACATTAGAACATAAGGTATTCATATATGCTCTCTTCTTTATCATACATTGTTCATTACTTCCCACCTTTTGAACTGAGAGGATTAATTCATTAGCTCCCCCACCTCTCATTAATCTAATGGCAGAGGCTACATTTATCTCTGAAATTCTATCCCCAATACTCTTCAGATTCAACTTCATCCTTATTATCTCAATCATGGCATTTCTTGGGCACCCTAAGATCTTATGGCTTCATTTTGTACCGTCTGCAACTTGCCCATCCTTCCTTTACCAAAACAAGAAATGACAGGTGCAGCATAATCAATAAGAGATCTTACAGTTCTCAAGTATATCATTTTTTTTTATCTTTATTTAAGAAAATACAATATAAATTACATATACATAAGATCCCCCTGATTGTATGTCTAGAACATAACCACTGTACTACATGACCCTTATATACATCTTTAAGGTAGGCACAGATTTATAATTAAAATGCTACATATAGCGTTCAAGATAAACTTCTCAATGTTTAAACCGCACAAAAATGAAATGGGTATAAATGATTACTTAACAAATGTACGTTCATTTCCTTCTCTTAATATAGCATGTTGGCAAACCCATGGACGTGGCTTGAACACTTTTTATAGTGAAAGGTGGTACATGAAGTTTGACTCGATCGCTTTTCACAGCATCGTTTAATTCTACAGTTTTTTATGAATGATTCAGAATTTGTTGTAGACTTTAAACATTAACCTAATCCCTAAAGTCTTATTTTGTATATTTTAAGTTCATATTATACTCAAATGGTTAATATTAACTGCGAAAGCCAATATAAATTCCGCCAATGTTTCCATCATCAAGGTCCGCCTGGCTGGCTGCCAAATGTTCTCTTGGTTTATCATTCAAAGTTTAGGCTGTGCTCAACACACAGATTTCTACCACATTCATTTACGAATATATACTCTTGTACACAACATGTGTATTCACAAACACATAATATAAAGACTCGATGATATAATGTTCCATCGTTCCTTGTACCCTCTCAGTATGGAATTTATATATATTTTATATTCTGCGCGCTAAAATTAGGACTGCAAATTAAAAATTGGGCTGTCTGCTAGGAGGAACTGCTGGAATCGATTACCAGAAGCCTTGATGTGCGAGCATCTCAAGAGAACGCGTTACCAAGTTATTTTTAGACTGTGTGTAACACAGCGCTTGTAGGCACCCAAGAGCCCGCACGCCAAGCCACATCTCGTATGGCAACCAGCCAGACCCCGTCAGCTATCGCTCGCATGGCAACCAGCCACTATCAGCAGGATAGTGTGAGCTCACACGGCAACCAGTGAGCGCTCAACTATCTCTCCTGCCCCAGCCAGCGCTCACATGGCAACCAGTGAGCGCTCAACTATCTCTCCTGCCCCAGCCAGCGCTCACATGGCAACCAGTGAGCGCTCAACTATCTCTCCTGCCCCAGCCAGCGCTCACATGGCAACCAGTGAGCGCTCAACTATCTCTCCTGCCCCAGCCAGCGCTCACATGGCAACCAGTGAGCGCTCAACTATCTCTCCTGCCCCAGCCAGCGCTCACATGGCAAACAGTGAGCGCTCAACTATCTCTCTTGCCCCAGCCAGCGCTCACATGGCAACCAGTGAGCGCTCAACTATCTCTCCTGCCCCAGCCAGCGCTCACATGCGAGCCAAGTTGCCAATATCCACACTCAGTCCTCTCATCGCTCGTACAACTTGACTGGTCGCACGGCACCAGTGGTCGCCTGAGTTAGCAGCTAGTAGTAATAGTAGTAGTGAACGCCACTAGTTTCACTCCAAAAAATTAAGAGGACTTCATAGGTAGTTTTGAATTAATGCACAGCACTATTTTATCAACAAGTACCCAATAACAAGGTTTCGGCTCTGTATATTTAGAGTGTTTTAAAACGCGTATATAGGGAGAGGAGTCAGTGGGTACGCGGTGCAGCTGTTGATAGTGAAGCTTGGTAATTGTTTTTGTTGGTGGAGGAGGCGGCCCGCCCGAGGGGACCCGAGTCCGCCCGAGCCCCGCCACGCTCACAACACTCACCCTGCCATATACTCACTCACACATACAACCTATTACCACCTAATCTTTTAAATCCAACACATTTCTCACATTCTTACTTGTTTGTATTTGAATATGAAAATACAGGTTGAAGATTGATACTAGGGGGATGAGGGTGGATGAATATAAGAGATAAATATGTGAGATGTGGCAGAGGGTGAAAGTGCGGGTCGTGCGGTGTGATTGGTGGAGGGCTGGTGACGTCACGCGCCGCCCGCCACCTTTGTTGAGACTCAATGGAAGAGCAGCGAGGCGCGGCGCCACACTCCCTCGCTCCCGCACTTAGCCACAGTTGTACACTTCTCGACTGGCTCCGGCAAGAAATCGCCGAGCACATATACCACAGTAGGTGTCGGTAACAGAGGGAAGTACGCAGAGCTACTCATTGATGACGAGCAGGCGGCAGGAGGTGAGAGGTGTTGGCTTGTTGTTGAGGGCTGTGGTGGCAGCGACGCCATCTTGGGATAGAGCCACCTTCAAAAGGCTCTTGTGTCGGGAGTGGCGGCTCAGTCTGTACTCTTGCCCCTACTGAAGTGTACACCAGTCACAAGACCGTACATGTTTTACCAGGAGACAGTGAAGAGAGTACCCGCGATAAAGCTTTGAAGACTAACCATTTTGGAAGCACCAGAATTATTGCCAACAATTGTGTGTGTAGAGAGAAGAGTGGAAGCATCACCATGGCTGGCACCAGGACGCTCCCCACCAGCAGCAGCACCAGCAGCCTGCAGCCCACCACACGGCTGGCCAAGGTGCAGCACAAGCACCTGGAGGGTGTTCCTTGTACATCACAACAGGTAAGCTGGTCCTTGTGACCGAGGCTTGTCCTGGCCGCCGCTCTTCCTTTGTTTGGCCTTTAAAGCTGCCAAGCTTGTGTACACGCATGTTCTCTACCCTCAAGACTTTCCCTTCAGTTGCTAGTGTCGTAGTGAATGTTTATAACGTGTAACTATTACTACATATACACTATTATTACCAAGGGTGTAGTGTTAATTTGATAAGTCACAGCTCTGGCGAGCCTGACAAAAGCCTCGTCATTTCCGATCTTGTTTTTACATCAACGATTAAGTAATTTGTGTTCTCGCTAATTATAAAATGATTATCAAACAAATCGAGGAAAACATCAATTGTGTATTTATCAATTTAAAAAGTTAAACACTTAGTGCTCGCAAAATACAACCAGTGAGAAGTTTCACATTAGTTTCCACAAACTATTGTGTGGTGTGAGGAGTTTTCTGGGGTGTGAAGCAACTCTTGTGCTGGCGTCATGTGATCTGTGGCACTGCAGCCATGATGTGGCTCACGATGCCACATAAATGCTGAGACATGATTTATGAGAATTCTTGAGCGTGTTGTTGTTATCGGGTTCATGTGACTGAATTCCCTCACACTCGGGCAGTACTAATAGGAATAACTTGTAAACAGCTCGGTAATGGGTGTAAACCTTAAGGGATAAGAACATAAGAACATAAGAACAAAGGTAACTGCAGAAGGCCTATTGGCCCATACGAGGCAGCTCCTATTCTATAACCACCCAATCCCACTCATATACTTGTCCAACCCGTGCTTGAAACAATCGAGGGACCCCACCTCCACAATGTTACGCGGCAATTGGTTCCACAAATCAACAACCCTGTTACTGAACCAGTATTTACCCAAGTCTTTCCTAAATCTAAACTTATCCAATTTATATCCATTGTTTCGTGTTCTGTCCTGTGTTGATACTTTTAATACCCTATTAATATCCCCCCGGTTATGTCCATTCATCCACTTGTAAACCTCTATCATGTCACCCCTAACTCTTCGCCTTTCCAGTGAATGCAACTTAAGCTTTGTTAATCTTTCTTCATATGAAAGATTTCTAATTTGGGGAATTAACTTAGTCATCCTACGCTGGACACGTTCAAGTGAATTTATATCCATTCTATAATATGGCGACCAAAACTGAACTGCATAATCTAAATGGGGCCTAACTAGAGCAAGATATAGCTTGAGAACCACACCAGGTGTCTTGTTACTAACGCTGCGATTAATAAATCCAAGTGTCCGATTTGCCTTATTACGAACATTTATGCATTGATCCTTTTGTTTTAAATTCTTACTAATCATAACTCCCAGATCCCTTTCGCAATCCGACTTCGCAATCACAACACCATCTAGCTCGTATCTTGTAACTCTATCATCATTACCTAACCTCAGAACTTTACATTTATCAGCATTAAACTGCATCTGCCAATCCTTTGACCATTTCAAAACCCTATCTAGATCAACTTGAAGTGATAGTGAGTCCTCCTCCGAATTAATTTCCCTACCGATTTTCGTATCATCGGCAAATTTGCAAATGTTGCTACTCAAACCTGAATCTAAATCATTTATATATATTATAAACAACAGAGGTCCCAGGACAGAGCCTTGAGGCACTCCACTTACAACATTTTCCCACTCTGACTTGATTCCATTTATACTAACTCTCTGTTTCCTTTGGTATAGCCATGCCCTAATCCAGCTTAATATAGCACCCCCAATACCATGAGACTCTATTTTTTTAATCAGTCTTTCATGTGGCACTGTATCAAAAGCTTTGCTAAAGTCAAGGTATACAACATCGCAAAAAGATGCGGTGTCCATCTCCTACACATAGTCTCTAAAGGCATTTAGTGCTGAGTAAGATGAAAATTTAAACCTCTTAGAGATAACATCTCTGCTTCTCTGTAATTACTGGCCTGAAAAAATACTACCTAGTCTTTTTCAAGGACACATTTCACTTAGTGATTTATACATACTTTGAGGTTAAAAATTTGAGAGCATTTCATGGATGTTGTCATGAACATATGGTGCTGCAAATTGTTCACAAGACTAGTAAGAAACTTGATAATTAATGGAGGCAATTTTCTAGTTGCTTGTTATGGTAATTTCTCCAAACTTCCCCTTTTCAATTGGCTTTTCAGCTTCTAAAGTTCTAGTACCAGGTTTCTGACCTTGTGCTCCATTGAATCAGTTTGTCTGCATTCACAATCTAAGTAGTGTGTTTCTGTAGACATTGGCAGTAAACAAAGTCCACAAAGTGTATTAACCTAGTTGTGCTTGTGGGGGTTGAGCTCTGCTTTTTCGGCCTGCCTCTCAAATGTTACTCGGAGCAGAAATTTTCCCAATTATCTGCTTGATATGCTGGCAAATTTAATTTTTCATTGCACATTGATCCAGTTTAAAAACTTGAACTAGAAGCAGTCGAAACAACTTTTGCCACTTTCACTGTTATAATTTTCACATTTTCACAATGGGTAAAATTTGGTCTGAAAGTCCACATAAACATGTGCTGTTGACGGAACCAAAACAGTTTTCCAAATACTTAACGGAAAATTAAGTCATAGAATTGCGTTGGAGAATAGTTTTCAGATTTGTTCATATTGTGTAGGTGAATAAGTATGCAGTGTAAAATAACTAATTATATTTGCTAATACAAAATATATTTAAAGACAACCAATTTATAACATTAAGTTTAGATTATTTCAAATGAGTTTTAATAAGCGTGAAAATGACCGTAGGCATGTACATGCACACCTCCAAAATCAGGATACTGTAACAGTAAATTGTTTTGGGTCTGATTCAAATTTACAGAGTTGTCATAGGATGGGGACAATTTTTTTTTTTATATATTATCCCAAAGATGAATATGAACCATACAATTTTGTTTTAAATCTGCTCAATAGCTTCTCCATGACAACTGTTTCTCCTAATGTTGCTTTTTAAAACATAATCAGAACACTATTAAATACCTTTCATAAATTAACAGTATGTGCCATAGCCACAAAACCTCATTTCCAAAGGTTGGGGAGGCCCAAGATTTAAATTTTCTGAAACTATGCACAAAACATTTGAAAATCTACTAGGCAAATGCTCCAACTTTGTCTAAATGATACCAGTGTAACTTGAACAAGAAAATAAAATATTTATAAAATTAAATATTGAAAACTTCAGATTTTGAAACAAGTTGCAAAAAATATAAAGTATCACCAACTGTTCATTTGGTGGTGTTATGCTCTCGGAATAGCATATGATTTTCATTTTCATATATTTAGAATATAGGTATAATTTACTGTAAAAAAATTTGTCAATATGCACAAATTTATACAACAAAAATTTATAACTCAAACATTTTAGAGTTTATGAAAAATAAATTCTATAGGGATTGTACAACAGACAGCTGTGCACACTATATGTAAAAATGGTGAGACTGTCAGAAACTAGATTTTTGGATTCTGAAATAAGTTGAAATTTTAGTTTTATATATAATTAAAGTTGAAGTTATCGACAATGAATAAGGCAGTTCTAATTTATGAATTTACTTGTATGTTGTAATGAACATGGTTTGGCATTCGTACTCAAATATGTGAAAGTTGTAGGTCAGTATGTGTTGAAGTCAAGAAAAAATAACTCAAAAAAACAAAATATAGGGATAATTATAACAATTATAATGATTTAGGGTATATTTTATATAAGTAAAAAAGGCTTAATATGGTCCCTAATCATCAAAACGACCTAAAAAAAAAGGAAAATAGTTTGGTCAACTTTTTCACAGATTTCAAAGAAAATTCAAAGTCCCAAGTTCTGAGAGTTGACTGATTTATTTGTTGGCCAGTTTAATTTTGCTTCACATAGTTAGGTAAGGGTATAGATTCTCAAAGATGTATACTGTAGTTACAACAAATTCAAATAATAAACAAGAAAAGGAAAAAACTAGACACCTAAAAAAAAATATTTTTTGGACATTGTTGAAAGTAACGGATAATAACATTGGGCAATTTATGATATGTAACAAAATAGAGCATAATAACATATTGTTATTATGTATTGCTCTCAAGTGCTTTAAAGGCACCAGCTGTATATCCACTTTGTGGACACTTATTACTACAGTACTACTATTCTTCTTTTGTGCATCAGACATGTGCTTGCATCTCTTAATTATTGCATTATCTATCGGTTCCAGTTAATAGGAGCTGCTCTTATCAAAAAAACTTTTTTTTATCAGTTGTCTAAAATCAATTTCTGAAGATATTTTGATAAGTTTCACGACGCTGAAGCCAATAAGTTAGGGATTTGTTTAACATTTTACGTAATTTTGACAATTTGAATAATTTTTTAATTATACCCCCCTTATGCTGAGTAGTTTAAGGGTTAATGAATTTTAAATTGCTTCATTGATTGTCGATAACTTCAATTATATCTATAACCAGAATCTCGACTTTGAGTTGGATCAAAAAATCCAGTTTCTGACTGATTCTCACTGTTTTTACATATAGTGTGCACAGCTGTCTATTCTACAATCCCTATGAAATGGATTTTTCATAGACCTTTAAGGTTTGGCGTTACATATTTTTTTCAAAATTTGCCGCATATTTCAAATGCCATATTGACAATTTTTTTATAGTAAACTATACTGAAAACCTATATTCTAATTTGATAAAAATTATCATATGCTATTCTGAGAGCATAGTAACACCAAATGAACAATTGGTGATATTTTATATTTTTTAATCTGATTTGAAAATCTAAAGTTTTCAATATTCAATTAAATTTTAAAATTATTTATGAAAATCTTGTTTTTTCAAGTTACGTTGATCATTTAGACAAAGTTGGGGCATTTGCCTAGATTGTGCAAAAAAATGGAAAGGGTTTATTAGAGTTTGAGAAACTGATGGTGTCCAATTGTATATGTATGTTTTGTGCTGTTTAAGGGTTAAATGACTAGAGTTTAGGATCCCAGGAATGACTTCTATCATATACTATTACTTTGTGTCTCTTGTTTAAATAGTGTTGTTTTTGTTAGAATCCATTTATAGTACAGCATTCTTTCAAATATGAAACTCCAGTAGACAAACCAAAATTATGATTATATAGTGTTGATTTCTGTAAAATGCTACCCTTTGTATGCATTTTGAATAGCGTGTAATACTAAGTATACCCATCTACTTTAAAAATTGACTTAAAAAATAATGAAAATTTTTCGCTTTCAGGCAACGGCATCCATTCGACCAGGAAAACGCCGGCACCAGGCCACAGTCTCTCCAATTACTGCACGCAATGAGAGCAGGTCACCAAGGGCTAAGCAGAGGCCAGTTCCAAGCCAGCAGAGCCCACCTACTATCAGTGGTGCTCCAGTTGTTGCTACTGCTACAGCCATTACCATCACCAGCATTAGTGGCCGACAAAGAACCGAATCTTGTAGTGGCTCTGTTAGTCCATCCCAGCTTGCAGTGCCCCGTGTATCAGCTGAACCACCCTGCCCATCCAAGCTGCCCATGCCACCCATGCATTGGATGGCTGGAGAGAACAAGAAGTGTCCAGCCCAGAGGCAACGGTGTCGGGCTGTTACAGAGTCGCTAGTTTCTCATTTAACCAACTCTGGCATTTTGGTAACAGCTTAGTGGTGCTGGGAGACAGGGCAGCTTTGCCGGCAGGGTGGCGGGGCCACTGTAACGTGGAGGGGAGAGCGGGGCCGCAGTCTGGACTGTAAACCGCCCCCTCCACCAGGCCACATCCTCTGCACCGCTGTCCGTGCCAGTTTCCTCGAGAAACTGTCCAAGTACTATATGGTGAAAGTCAAAAGGTTGACGATCATAGCGTGAACTGGAAACCACAATGTTCTTGTTCTGTGATACTGGTAGTGCTTACTGGCTTTACTGTCCGTGTCACGCAAAGTGAATTCACTGTTGTTGTTCCCACTGCGTGATGATGTGTCCTAGCCAGCAATAACTGGGATCATCATGAGCAAGCAACCCAATGTCCTGTATTTTAGTAGAATCACATGCTGCATTGTGGACTTGTTAAATTCTCTTTTTTTTTTCTGGAGGATTTGAATAGAAATTCTAACTTTTCCTGTTGGCTTTCTTGGGAGAAAATTGGCTTTTAGCAAAAGATTTGGGTTTCCAATGTTTTGGAAGATTTATTTAAAAAAAGGCTGTCTTAAGTTATGAAACTTATATCATGGCATTTCCACAATATTACAAACAATCATACTGTTCAATGTGTTAAGTAATGGTTTCCTTGTGCAAGTTAAATGTACAGTATTCAGTTCAATGCTCAATTTTTGGCAGGCAGAATTTGTCTAGAAAGTGGTGTTGATTGTTTGTAATTGGTCAGCAGTGCTCATTTAGTGTCCTATTGTCTGCAGTTGCATCTCAGACAAAAATAGTATTTAGAAGCTAATATTTTATTATAATTATTTTGTGGACGTAAGATGCCATGAAAGGCATTTCATTATTTTTTCCTTGTGTATGTTAAAAGTATTTTACAGTTAATCAGCAAGTTCTTTGAGTTGGTAAAGTAGTGTATCAAATTGGACAGTTTAACAGTGAACAGTAGTTTGGTATGATGAGTCGTTGAACCTGCCAGTGTCCACAAGGTAATTAATTGTTGTGAGTGGCAAGGGTTAGTGTTTCAGCACGCTAGGAGCATTGGCGGTGGGAATCCTCCGTGATATACGGTGTACCACAGTACTCTAGTCTTGAGGCCCAACCAGCCACACTCCAACCTACAGAATTTGTATAGACTATTTTTATTATGCCAGTTTTTTATTAAGATTCTCCTATAACCGGTTGCCCACTTCATGTATATTATATAATTATTTTATTGATCCAAAGGTTTGGACCAACTTTATATATGGATGCCATGTTCATGATGTGGCACAATGTTTTGCTGTAATGTGCCACAATGGGCAGTACTGCTTGCGAAGAACTGGAGATATTTACTGATGAATTTTAGTATGGAATATTTGCATTGTCCTGTACTTGCCCACCGAGTGATTAGCGTTAAGGATCTGTGATCTCAGAGCAATTATTTAACTGAATTAATAGACTCAAGCTGGATCCACATTCCAGTGTTCCAAGGGAGTGACCCCCTCAGTACAAATCCCTTGGGGTTGCATCCCTGCACATTTCCTGCTTGAAATGTGATCACCGACATAAGTGCACAATGCTCAGGAGTCTGATAAATTGTAGGATGAACTGAAAATAGTGGCACAACAAATATACTGCAAGTACTCGAGTTGTAGGCTAAGAAGAGCAGTATACAGTCTCTCACTTGGGAATTGGAGACTGTAGTATGAAGACACGAGACTTTATCTCTGATGTCCTCCACTATAGGCACAATTACTCAGGTGGAGGCCCAGTCCTGCTTTATTTGATATTATAGAGGGAGAATTGTTCTCTTGTTGAGTAGATCTCAGTGGAGGCTTCCACTTCACTTTTTAGTGGGATCCTCTTAATTGTTTGTATATTGAACCAAAGCATTTTATCACCATCTCATTTGTAAGTGCCCCAGTGGTGTTAGCACCCAGTAATACTTAGCTCTACCTCATGTCAAGTTTGATGGATATTTGAATGCATATCATAGTTTGGTTACTCGAGAGCTGTCATATTTGTAAACACTCCCCTGCCACAAAGGCACCTAAGCAAGCTTCCATGCATGTGGCTTTGCCAGTGGATGGGTGGTGTCAGAAAAGCTCTATTGTAATGTTGCTGTGTAACGTGCTGACCACAGAGGGCAGAGTGCCACATAAGTCACCGAGTCCGAGGGCTTCCTACACCTGAGGACGTGACGCCTGTTGCTTAGCATTAAGTGTCGCTGTTTTGTAGTGTCCCATGCATGAGGACAAGCCTGACTGCAACCGGTTATAGGAGGATAAAACGAAACACTAACACGCCCATGGTGGTGGTAAAATAATTGACGACAGTTTTGAGGGTTTTAGGGACCATGAGTTCCAGCTAATCACCGCAAAACTGTCGTCAACACTGCCACCACCTCCACCAAGGAGACTTGAAGATTTATATGTCTGTGATACTGCCATCAGCTTCAACTCTCCTCCAAAATGTAAATCAGATTTATTTGCCATTCATGGCAAGCTCCTAAGATATCACCATTGGTTATGGTACAAAGAATCTATTTCAAGAGTCTTATTTGACAACAAAATGATAAGCAAAAAAAATTTAAGTATTCTAAGTTAATGATGTACCTGATACAGGTGTGATTGGAGTTCTCATATCATGAGACCTCTCTTAGTCGTATCCCTAACCTTCATCCTTAATCCATCCACGGGGTTGTTACCCTCATTGTTATCCGTGAGATATGTCTCTTAACATCAGCCCCTCTGGCACATTTGGATCTAACTATAGTCATGTAACTTTGTTTCAACATTTCATTATTTTCAAATTTTTTCCAAAGTATCCCAATCTTCTGGGAAGGTCTCATTCCAGTCACCTATTGTCTTTTCCTACAAATTATTTAGTGATATTTGTGACTGCTATTCCATGGATGAAAGGACGTATGACTGTATTAAACTAAGAATTTTTATGTCCTGGATATTTGTGAATGACTGAAAATTTCAATATTTAATTTGTTTCATCCCACAATCCTCTTACCATTTCTGCCTAATCCATTCTCCATCCTTTCAGCCCTACCCTACCCTATCCTCACCTTATCCTGTTATCCTTCCCCCTCCTATCCCTGGGTTCTTTTTAGAACCCCCAAAATCTTAAGAGAGAGATTTTCTAGACAAATTGCCCAAAATGGGATCATCTTTCATGAGCTCGAAAACCATATCATTCCAATAAATATACCTTTTCATAAAGAGCATGTTCATTTCATCAAGATGCACTTCTGCACTGATATCGTTACTTTTCATGAGCCTCGGTTTGCTGTTGTCCTTTTGACACTGCAGTAGAGTCTATGGAAAAACACCAGGAAGGGGTTTTTTCTCCAACGGTATTAATATGAAATGCTCATCAATCATTTAAGAGTATTGAGTATGAAGACTAAGCCACACACCAGAAGATGAGAAAGCGACGTTTCGATCCGTCCTAGATTGAAAATGGTCCAAGACCGACCGAAACGTCGCCGTCTCTTCTGGTGTATTGGTTAGTCCTCAAATTCAGTCACGTTATTGTGACTGATCGTCTGCATGAGTACTGAATATATTTAACAAAATCCCCAATAGCTGCTGCCTGTGGGTTCTTGTTCGCTGCCCTTCGTCACAGGCGAAATTCATGCTAGTTTTGCCGCCTATGCCGCGCTTAACTCAGTCACTTAAATTAATGGAGCGCCGCCCTACTCCTTATTGTCCAATTTGCATTGTCCCTCTTTCGGTCGTGCATATCCTTGTTGAATGTCCTGACTTCCAGGACGAACGTGTGTTGCTTTCTGACCATCCCTCGCTGTCGCTTGTCCCTCGATAGAATTCTTAGTGAAGCTGCTTTTGATATTCTTTTGATAATTACTTACATTCTTGGGGAGGAAGGGGTGGAGATAAGGGTAGAACAGAAGGTTCAAAAAGAGTGCTTAATTGAAACTATGCTGTGTGGAGGTTTACAAGCTAAGTACATCCTAATTTCTTGATCTGGGAGACGAGCTTATGCTGGTTGTGACCCCTTGGGGTGGGGGGTTCTTAAATTTATATCTGGCTTGGTGCCTTCTTTTGATAATTACATTATCATCTGCCCCACTCCCTGGGGACAATGGGTAAAACAAGGTTCAGTGTAGCCCACCTGAAGTAATCTCACTATCTCGTCTAATAGAAAGGGTCGAGTGGGCATTGTGTGGTTGGAATACCGTTTGACTTCAATGGTGACCCACATACACTATTACCCATCAGGCCCTAAATACTTGGGCTCGACAGTAGAGCGAAAGTCTTGCTTTGTGCAGGTCTGCGTTTATTCCCCGACCGTCCAAGTGGTTGGGCACGAATTCCTTCCACCCTCTTAAGGGGCCAAGAGAGTCAAATATGCCAAAAAAATGAAAACTGGTTCGATTTCAATCTATCTGTACGGGTACCAAGTGGGCAAGGAAATTAGTTGTCAACCTCGGCCATAGATGGCAGCACCATAGACTAATATTTAATGATTTATTTTTCAAGTAACATAAATGAGTTGGTACTCTTTTTATTTTTATTCAATTAAATGAAACTTACACCTTATATGTAAAGTTTGTCTCTAAAATCTGAAGGAAGAGTTTTTTCCTAAGTTCATTTATTGATTTTATAAATAGCAAAAAACATGATATATTTGCATAATTTTTTGGGGGAACTTTGACTATTTGTATTGGGAAAACTAAAGATGATTTGGAAAATTCCCTTCTACGTATCCTTTATTATATGCTAATGTGTCTGAAAAGTGTCATAGAAGCATTATATCTAAAAAGGTGAAAGGTTTGAACTCGTTTGAAAATGTGTAATATTCGTTGAAAACAAAAATTAAATCTCCCTTTCTATTTAGGCTACATGGACCAATTGCAGCTCTTTTTTCATATACAACTAGTCAAAAAAAATTGGTTGACATTGAATAACTTTCATCTTCGAACCCTCTTGGCCCCTTAAAATTAACATCCCAAATCCTTATCCTAAGATTCCCTTCCAAGTACTAAATATTCATAATAGTTTTGCGCTTTCTCCTGATAATTCCCTCCCAGTTCCCCCGAGGTTGCTTTTCCATGTGCTTGTGCCTTCCCTTGAGACAGTGACCCTTCACTTTCTAGTGTGTGGTCTGGTCAACGTTCCTATATATCCCTGGAGCGGTGAGGGAAGTTTGTGTTAACCAGAGGAGACTTCAACCCATGATGTACACCTCCAGGCAGACTCTGACTCCAACAATTATTCAGGCAAGTGATTATGATCGTCCAGAGTGGCCATCGTCTATTAGCTAGTAGTCTGTTTCAAGTGAGGGCATCAAATATTTGTGTTTTGAACTGACGCCAGTAGCATTAGTTAAGTCCTGCGACTTTATATAATTGAACTGACGGTCACTATCTCCCTAGTGGCCTCGACGGGGACAAGAAGTCGGCGGTTAGTCAAAGTTACCCCAATTGTTCTCTGGGATTCTTTCTATATTGATTTTAAACTGCTGTAGTGTTTTCGCATTTATGACTTCGGCCGGTAGGCAGTTTCATGGGCTTATAACCATATGGGTAAAAAAAAATCTGCTTTCTGTACTACAGAGATATCTATACAGGCGAAGTGAAACTTCAGTGGTAGATACAGTTCTTCGGTCAGTTCTTTTACGATTGTGGGTTGAATTTCGGCTATACTTTGAACTTTATATTATTTTAGTTTGCCAATGCGTCCTGGTTATTTGGCACGTTATAGGGATATACCTTAATTCATTCACTTCCCCTGCTTCAAACATTTTTGTGGATATTAGGATGGTGAATCTTTCTAGTGTGAAGACTGATGTAAAACATTAATTCAAAGTTGGATGCTATTTTATCCTCAATTATATGTATAATTTGATTGGTCTTGGCCTTTAAGGACCTTAGCTGGCTCTTAAAGCTATACATTTGATCTGCGATAAGTTTGTGGGAGGCGGGGGTGGTCAGCAGTCGGTATTATCATTCCCGCCATCTTCACCTCAAGTTGGCAAACAAATCCCCACACAACTAATATATTAATGCTTCACTCATAACTCCTACACACACCATTTGGTCAACATTTGGTCTGGGAGACATCTCCCGTCACGCAGGGTGCAGTCGCACCTCCACAGATCTCCAGTATCATCTCTTGATACTGGTAATGGCTCAAAAGGGCCACCACTCACGGGCTATTCATGCCCGTGCCACCTTTTGGGTGGCTTAATCTTTATCAATCAATCAACTACACGGTTACAGCCCCGCTCCTGTGCCAGGTAAGTCCACTACGGGCTCACCATAGCCCGTGCTACTTGGAACTTTTTGTTCCCAGTAGCTGAATCTTAAACAACAACAACATAACTCCTACACCATTTTCTCATATCGCAGGACACAAACGTTTGGGAATGTTTCCTTACACCTGATGCTTCTGTTCATCTAGCAGTACATTGGCACCCGGGAGCTAGACAAGTGTTGAGGGTTGCATCCTGCGGAAGGTCCGTAGTTCACTCAGAGAATCCTTGATAAGCATATTAGGCTTTCTTGCCCGACTATTTGAACCCATAGCTTTCCTTGGAACACGATCCGTCAATCAGTTTGCAATCGTATCCCAAAATATTGCTTTATTTACCTGAGGGCCTCTTAACACTCTAGTGGTCTCGACGAGGACAGGAAACCGGCGGCTTGTCAAAGGTCCCCCCATTTGTCCTGATAATTTTTGTCACTCTGCATTTTAAAATTCAGCATTTTTTGGGGCATTTATGGCTACGGAGTGCTGGCGGTGCCATGGGTTATAACCCTGTGGGTGAAGAAGCATCTTCCGTTTTTAGTTCTACATTGCGGCTTGTTGAACTTGAAACAATTGCTCGTTGCTTGTGTTACATCTAACCTTTTGAAGAAGTTGTCTGGATCAACATTTGTTTGAGCAGTCGCCATGGTGCAGTGGTAAAACACTCGCCCGGCGCTTTGTCCTGGGTTCGTATCCAGGCTGTGGATACGAATCCAGTCAAGTCAGAGATAGTCAGAAAAGTTATTGTATGACTATTAGACAATAGCTTGTCTGATAGCCTGTTCATTTGAGATAATGAGTCCAGTATCGTCTGGGAACATTAAGTGACAGGATGAACAACCCTGCAGCGGGGTTTCTTACTATTGGGGGTATTGTATATGTTGCTTTGGCAGTATGTCCACTAACAGGATGCGTGGCGCTATCCAATATACTCGCCTTCCCGTGCTAAAACAAAAAAGGGAAACTGAAACCATGTTATGATGTCGCCAAAATTTTAGATTACTGTAATGGAAGAGTTATCCCAGAACATTTTCCTACTCTATAAGAAAACTTGCATTAAAGAAAACGATATTCACAAGTCTTATTGCGTGACTTATCTAAATTAGAAAACTGCCACTGAATAAGTCATCGTTATACAAGGGTAAACCCCGTTCCATCGCATAATCCCTATGGAGAGAATTTATAGTGATAACTGTTTGAATATATGAATATTATTTATTATATATCATCCGAAAAGGCCAAAAGTGACCTTTGTTATGGAGCGACAAGTCACCACCACGGGGGTCTGGTAGCTGAGTGGACAGTGCGCGGGGTTCGTAATCCTGTGGCCCGGGTTCGATTTCCGACCCCGGCAGAGACAAATGAGCAGAGTTTCTTTCATCCTGATGCACCTGTTCACCTAGCAATAAATAGGTACCTGGGAATAAGACACTGGTTACGTGCTGTTTCAGTGTGTGTGGGGGGGGGGAGGGGGAAAATTTATTAGTAACAGTTGATTGATTGAGAGATGAGAGGCGGGCCGGAAGAGCAGAACTCAACCCCCGCCAGCACAACTAGGTGAACTAAGTC